CTTCGACTTGCGACCAACTCGACTTGCGATCAGAGTCACGGAACGGATTAAGTTCGTAAGTAGAGGTACCACTGTATTCTTTTGATGTCAGCTAAGGAGGAGAGTCAAGAAGAAGATGGCACTCCCCCCCATTTCTCCTTGCCGTGGTTTTGATGTACATCCCTTCTATGTCTTATGGCCTTTAAGTTTCTGTGCCACCAATGCATGAAATGCTGTAGTTAACTACTTCCCCTGGGCAGAGATTTCTTGGTGGGCTTTTCTTCTTATAGTCCGAGTTTTATGAAGCAAGTCCATCAAAGCTAGTACAGGTAGTCAGGAATTGCTATCGCTAAGCGATACAGTCATAAAGTGTGATGTCATGTGACTGCGCTGCTTAGCGATGGCAGTTCCAGCAGTCCCAATTATCATTAAGCAAGGACCTCACATGACCACGAATTCAGACTTCCTGCCAGCTTCCCCATTGACTTTGCTTCTAGGAAGCCAGCAGGGAACATAGGAAATTGTAATCATGTGACTGCTTTCCCACTGCTGGTGCAATGATGTATTTGATGTGTAGAAGAGCAAACAATTTACTCTCTTACAATCTTACGGTACTCTCTTGAAATCTCTTTCTCTCTAATCTCTCTATTCTGGGGGGGGGGGGTCAGGCAAAAGAGAGATTGCCTACAGAAATTGCTTGTTTTTTAGATTGAAGAGAAAGAGATTTCAAGAGAGTACCATAAGTTGTTGTGTAGTGTACCTGCAGCTCCCAGCCCCAGGCTGCCGGCACAATTGCATTGCTTTTGATATGTAGAAGAGCAAACAGCTTCCTCTCCTGCAATCCTTTCCTCTCCAATCTCTCTGCACTGCAAGAGAGGAAAAAAAGAAAAAACCACAGGTCAGGCACAGGACAACGTGTACTTTCTGTAATGGCGATCATGTGACTAATAAACACTGTGAAGGTCATAAATGGCCATAAATTGGCCATAAAGTTATTTTTTCAGCACCGTTGTAACTTCAAACGGTCGCTGAATGAGTGCTTGGTAAGTGAGAACTACCTGTATGTGCTGTAGATACTTTGCCTGCATCATCTCAAGTAATTGAGATAAGTAACAGAGTTGCCAATGATCATGTGCTGTGGCTGAGGTTAGTCATCCAAGAGCCTAACATGAACCTTAGCTCTAGAATGTTCTGACCATCCTCTCCATGCCAAATTCCATATAATGCACAAATAACCACTTGAAGGCCACAAATAGATGAGCAACCTATCCTTTCCACTTGTATATCTGGTCAAATATAAATATACTAGACAACAGGAAAGTGAGAAACAGCATTTCCAGCCACAGGCGTTGCAGGGAAACCTTTTACACTAGAAAATCCTCCTGGTAGTGATTCACATTTAGGTGAAATATGCGTGGGGTCCCTTTGATAGAAGCTTCTCTCAATTCCAGTGAGCTACGAAATGTGGGGAAGAGACTGCCTTCTGCACCTGAGAATAGCCTTTCGTAAGGCACGGAAGACCTGGCTGTTTCCCTAGGCATTTGGTTTAGGTTAGGTGAACTCTGCCGCTGTTGATTTTTATGAGCAGGGTCATTTTTATGAGCAGGTCAATGCTGGCTGGGGAATTCTGGGAGTTGAAGTCCACACATCTTCAAGTGGCCAAGGTTGAGAAACACTGCTTCATTCACTCACTGGGCTCTGAGAAATTCTTACTAAGAAGGCAAAGTCTTGGGTCAATCCCAACCCATACATGTGTTTGTACTGGCAAAACAAGAAGCCACTGTCTTCTGGGGAGGAGCTTCCTGGGTTTTGTCCTTTGCTTGAAACACATTCTGATTTGATGGCACAAAGATAATTTTGAAGCTCTTTGCATGCAATTTGTGAATTTGTGAAGCAAGGCCACTGCTTTTGTTACAGCCTCTATCCCCTTTTGTTTTTAGGACAATCATCCCTTAGCTAGCCTTCCTCTGCTCGGTTATTCACTTACCATTCCTTCTGAATCGGAGAACATTAATAAAGACTATGTCTTTAAGCTACACTTCAAATCCCATGTGTACTATTTTAGGGCGGAGAGTGAATATACATTTGAAAGGTATGTTTGTTTACTATGATTTTACTACATAGTATGCTGTTAAATTGTGTCATAAAAAATGGGTGGCTAATAGGGGCTGTTATAATCAAACCAGCTTAAGTAAGTCAACATGGGCTCTGTCAAAGAGTTGAAATGTCAAATCCTTTGTTTTCTGCAAAATGTAAGTTAGTGCAGACTTTTCCAGTCCAGACCCAGGAATCTCACAAAATCACTAAATCACATTTTATTTTGCTAATCTCATGCATCATTTCCAAAATCTTGTACCAGTCCTAAGACAAGATATCACAAAACATTTTCAAACTAAGATCTTGTAACGTCTTGTGAAAGAATACAAACATGTTGTGAAACTGAAGAGAGACGTATTTAAAGTTCTGAAATGGGGGTAGGGATTGTAATTTTCAAAATTCCCTGAATATTTTGATGTTTTCGTTATGAGAATACTAAATCACTGATACAAAGAATTTATCATGATTTTATTCTCCAATTTCTACCATGTGTGCAGAGTCATTGACCCAGGAGCCCCTTCTTATACCCCACTAGCTGGTACAAGGGACTCATTTTTGCTGACCTGAGCAGAAATAGCTATAGTTCACACTAGGGGTGGGCAAAATGTTTTGTGCATGAGCTAGATGTAAGGTAGTCTGTCTTTGAACCGAAACATGTATATTTAGGATGTTGTGGTCCATAAAACAAAACTAGATTGTTTACTTCCATGTACGGACTGAAATGTGATCGTTGAGGACAGAAATTATTTGGGATGGGGTTGGCAGGTTAGAGAAGGAAACAGCCAGGAAAATTAGCAATCTGAGTAATCAGTTCCATCTAACCAGAAACAGGAAGGTGTGGTACTTGGGAGAAAATGGACTTCTAAATTTTCAAACTTTGCATAGTGAAACCTAAGTTCTCTGTTGCAAAATGCATTTAAATAAATGTGTCTTGCTCTATAAAATGGGTAAAGTTTGGCCTACAAATGGTGGTTTAGTGCAGACTTTCTCAAACCTCAGCAACTTTAAGATGTGTGGACTTCATGCTGGCTGAGGAATTCTGGGAGTTGAAGTCCACGCATCTTAAAGTTGCTGAGGTTTGAGAAACATCAGAAACCTCTCACAACGGAACCACTCCTACAGACTTTTCCCTCTGCCACCACAATGTTTGGAAGTTTTAAGGCTCTCCTTCCCATATGAGATGCCATCAGAATTCCCATACATAGTCAGTTGGCCCAGAGAGGTGAACTTAAAATGGGGTGGGGAAAAGACTGGCATTTCAGTTCACTTTTTTCTGCATCCCACCGTGGTCCTCTTAATCTCAAGTTGTTTAGCAGGGCCATTAGGATGGGAAAGACAACCTATGGGAAGAGTCACCTCCATCTTTCTTCCCCAACTCAATCCCATTCTGGCCAACCAAATCAACTGTTTGAAAAACAGGCTGGAATAGAATTAGGGAAAGAAGAACAAGCCATGTGAAGGTGAGGAGGAGAGCCATCCACTCATTCTCTTTTCCCATCCCGCTTACCTCTCTCAAACTCACCAAATAGGCAAACATCTTCCGCGGACCCACATCCACAAAAGAAGTTTCCCACTTGTGCAGTGTAGGAAGCCCTGATGTTTGTCTCTCTATTGCTTAGGTGGATGGAGGTGATCCGAAGTGCCACAGGCCCAGCCTCGCGCATCCGTGTATTAAGTCATGAAGAATCCCATGTTTATTGATGGCTGAACTCCAAATGGTTCATTCCAGCAACTGCTGCTTTTTTAGAGGATATTTGAATTTATTTTCCCCTTTTAAGGTTTAGTAAAACACAGATCTATTAAAAAATGTTTTGGATCAGCTTTTGAAATAATGCCTCAGCAGGTTTGTTTACTATTATCAGCCAAGTGATGGTTTCATGTCTTGTATTTGTTCTTCGGTGTGGTTTTTTAGCTTGTGCCAGTATTAAAATATTGTCCTTGGAGTGCCAAATGCCAAAATATATTTCTTTGCCTCAAAAATTTGCACCAGAAATATACAGACCAATTTTTGTAGCAATGTTTTTTTTGTATTTCCTTGAAAACAAGATGCCTCTTCTTTAAAATATAGACCCTCAAAATGATTTTTGGACTGATTTTTTTTTTTCCTAATTCCTATCTGTTGCATTTACCACCTTCAACATAAACCTGCACATGGAAGTTCTTTTATTTTTGGTGGTTTTACAGAGTTTGCTTCTAAAAATTAAAACTGGCAGCCAAATATGTATTTTGTTTAATTCATCTCACTTTCGGAAGTTGGAAATATTTCCTTCCGATATTGTCGGACGGCTTTGCCTGCTCTTTCCTGGTGAAAATTAATATCCAGAAATCATGCGCAAGAAACAGTTTACACATTTTACCCCATGAAATGCTCGTAACGATGATGTCTTAGGAAGTTTAAGATGGTATAATAGTTGGTGTAACAAAATGTCAATATCTGTGTTCTACAAAGATTGTGGCATTTTTTTGTCAGAAAATTGGTGTTTCAATAAGGACAGGTGCAGGTGTTCAGAGGAAACATTTTTTTCTGTAATGTTTTGTCCCAATATACTGTGTGTTTCTGCACCTTTATCAGTGGTACTATAAATCCATTCATATTTTGTCTGTACAAATTTGGAAGCAATTAGCCTTAAATATGTTCATTTAATCAACTTCAGCCCAGTTAAGAGTCTAAAACAGCCTTTCTCAACCTTTTTTTCCCCTGGAGGAACCCTTGAAGTAATTTCCAGGGTCAAGGAACCCCTGCATAAAAGTGGTTATATCTAGAGCTGACGGTACATCAGCGTGATCAGTAAGCTGGGTTGCCGCATGTAAAAATCCCCACTGCTGGGAGTGCTCGCATTGCATGGCACACAGAGTTCAAAAAAGCAGTATTTTTTTTATAATAACAAGCTCTCACGGAACCCAAGTTGAGAAAGGCTGCTCTGAAGATTTGATTGAGAGTACACACCTTCCAGCAGTTGAAATAGATTTATCGTAAACTATTACATGCAATATGAATCCCACCAAGTTTGCCACACGTTTGAGGAACTGGTTACTACCGCATCAATCAATCTCTTGTTTTAAGAGTGGGTTTGCCAAATATAGAGGCTCTATTGTTCCTACATGGTATAAACATGTTTTAAGATTTGCTTACTGAAAAGGGAATAAAATACCTCAACAGCTTTAAACACTGTATAGTTTGAGGGTTTCTTTTGAAGATGTTTCTTTCTTGCCATTTACAAAAATTTGTTATTTTGAATGCGTGTAATTGATATCACATAATTTATGTGTGTGTAACTGATTTAGGCAACTTACATTGGGTCGTCAAAAAGCGTCTATGAAAAGTTGTCTGGCCACAGGCATGAACCTTCCTTTGGCTTACATATCCCAACATGCATTTTGCAGTCCAAGGTTGGTTCAAAGCTTTTTCTTTCCAATACCTTTCCCCCCCCCCCTTGGCTGCGGTTTGATTTTTCCCACTAAACCATGAGATCAAGGCTGAACACCAGAAGGTCACAGAACCTTGTTGCTGTAAAAAGAGTCTCTCATTTTTTATTGTTGTTTTGTTTTGAAGTGGAGGAAAGATGATCAAAGTCAACCTGGCTGGTGCTGCCCCAATTATGTCTTTTTGAAACCTCTTCAGCAATTCTATTTCTTAAAGGAGAAGTAAAAGGAAAGGGGGGAAAGCAAAAAGCTACAAATAGATTGGGAAAAAAAGAACAAAGTTAAAAAAAAAACAGCTGGAACTATTTTTAGAGTAGGTTTTACACTGATGATGGTTTTGAAGAAGGTCACATAAGATCATCATGCAAGCTTATGACAATCTCTCTTATTTACTAGATACAGCTTTTAGCTTGTGCCTTTTCTATTCAGCAAGGTTTCCATGGTCTGCTTTTAGCAGCTGGATTTGCTCCCTGTGGCAGTCACTGTATCATAATGCCAAGGGTGGCACCAGTTTTCAGCTTTTGCCCACTGTCTGCTTCTCAGAGAATAAATACCATAAGCACAACTCACTTATTCAGTATTTTTTATTAGCTATCAGATAACCTCTTGCAGGAACATTGCTTATGGCAACTTAATTCTGCTTTCAGCTCGTTACTTGGATTTCCATACAAAATATAATAATCACACCTTTTTTTTCTTAACATTAATGTTCATAAATTAGCAACAGCACTGAGGGAGGAGCATATAAAGATGTTACCCACTTTACTCCAAAGGTGTATCTTTCAGACTATAATTTATGCACTTCCATATTTTTTAAATAATTAAAATTATAAAGTTAATTAGGTAATTAACTGAAAGAGTTTGATTTATGCCAAGTGTGTTGACATTTCCTAGATCATATGTAGGTTGGAATAACTAAAGAAAGGAAGTAAACAACTCCCCTTACTGACAGAAGCCACCCTTGTCTGACCAGTTAAGATATTATCACTTGGAAACAAGGAAATACTGTATTTAGAAGTATGCATCAGCTATGAGTCACTTTGTTCTTAAGAGCAGCAATTTACACAATTACATTACAACCTCATTTGAGGATACCATACAAAGCTTATGGGAGAGAGTTTCTTTTGCTTGAGATGGCCAAGATGATTATCCTTAGTTCATTATACTTTCTTTACAATTCCACCTGTCGCCTTTTGGTATGAGTAAAACTTTCTAAAGTTACTTCAGTTCCAGTGAGGATATTCCATACTTGTATTTCTTTATCCTCAGATTTACAAAGGTGACCAATTAAAGGAATACATTAGATACCAGAATATTAGCACTTCATTTTGATACAATAGGAAGGGGTTAACTTAGTTCAATTTCTGATGTTATTTATGAACTTCTGTTACAATTTGTTACGTAACACTGTTTGGACAACAACTTTCTACCTTACCATAAGACATTTGGCAAGATATGTGGCATTTTTATAAAATGACTGACTGGAAAACTGGTATGCACATTGGTGGTGTAGGTCCAGACTTAGTCAAATATGCATGACACATCCTATATCCAAACTGATTTCAACAAGTGTACTTTAAGTATGGCTGATCCAATTCCTTCCTTTATCCTTCCCTTATCCTTCTGTTTTAGTGTAGCCACGACTGGAAAAAATACTCAAAATTCTTAGGCAATTTTTCCATCTGTATGCAGCCTAACAGGGTTGAGGAGAATATTTACATCCATTTTTCCAGAACATGGTGGCCATAACAGTATTTGGACTTGCAGAAGTGCAATTTCTTATGGTTCTGTTTTTCCCCTTCAAGTGTCATTAAATTTTGAAAGCTACTTTCTTGTAAAATATCTGATATAAATACGCTGATCAATGACATAACAAAATGGTTGTATTTCTTTATTTCTGTGTCATGAAACATACACGGTTTTGAGAATAGGTTGATATCTGACATAAGCAAATATACTGTATACAGTTATAAACAGCAGAATTACAGAAGTAAACAGAGCCTGATCAAAGAATAGGTCTTCACTGCATATGTCACATGATGGCTAAAAAATGGGACCTCCATGTATAGAGATAAAAAAGGCATTCCCAGATGCTTATGAAAAAAATAAGCTAGGTATTAGACTGCTGTGTTTGTGCATTTCCAAAAAGCAGCTGTTGACCAGCATTAGACATTTGCCATAATTCAGCAAGGAAATCATAGTTTTATGCTTCTCTAAAGAGCAACCAGCTCATACTTAGAATATTTTATCCAACTACTGTGAATTCCTCAGCTGTGTAGATGCTCCATATATTCAGAATCCTTACTAAAAGTTACTAGAAGATAGAAATGTACAATTACTGCTCTCTTCCTAAGTGTAAGTAATTTTATATCTGAAGACCTTTAAAGTTGGTTTATGGCTCTGACTATAAAACATCCCTAATTAAGACATTTCCAGTTCATCATAATGTACTACAGTAACTATGCTAACCTAAAAGAGCAAAAATGAAGTCTTGTGGCATCTTAACCAATTTATTACGGCATAAATTGGATTAGAGATCAGTGAGATTGATTTACTAAAATATTTTAAATTGAAAGCTTTCCAGGAAATACTCTGGGATACTTAGTGTAATTTTCTGAAATATTACAAGTATTCTAATGTACATAATTTTCAAAATTTCACACAGTATTATATACCTTTATGTTGTGTATATTATGGAAAGGAGGATTTTACATGCTAATTTAAGCACTTCCAACACTCTATGCATCATATATGCACATACTTTTCCTGGGATAGCCTCTCCCTCCCCTCCCAAAACCCCTGTGTGAAATGACCTGTTTGGACTAATATAAGATCCATAAGTTACTGTACATTGCTAATTCATTTTATAAAGCAATGCATTTTTGGAAATGAAAATGGTCCCACGAAAATGTATATCCTTTCCACACCACTGGACTAAGCTTCTACTTTGTCAGATGCACAAGTGTTACTAAAATTGTGTGTACATCCATATACATTATGAGTGCCAAAGGGAAAAAAAATCAATCAGATGGAAAGCCATGAAACTCTAGATGTAACTTTGCAAAATTCACTTGAAGTCCTTGTCTGCATTCTACAGGTATTTCACAGCATTTCAATCCCACTACAATATAGAATTGCTATTTGTGTGATAAAATGGACTCTAGCCCATGAACATTTATGTAACAGTAAATCAGTAAGCCCTTAAGATGCCAAAATAACACTTTTGCCATTTTGTGTATTTACAACTTCAGTTCAGTAGCAGATCTACGAGGACACAATGAAGCTTAAGTTTCATGTTTGTGCTTTGGCTCACTGTCTATATATGAGGGAGGAAGCCAATTTCATGACTTTGTACCTAACACACCTGCCATCTTTCCACTCCAAAATCAGATAATAAAATCTTCCATCCATTGATACATATATAAGCCAATGTACTAATTATTACCCCTGTGTGCACTAATGACTGCAAAATTCTACTATCTATTAATGAAAGCACACACTTTTCAATAGGTCCTAAAACTATTACAAAAACATCAATATTGAAAATTATGAAAAATACAAAAGGTTTCATATAAAGGTCAAGAACCAAACAAAACAGTGCAATGAACTACAAGGGGGGAAAAACGGCACCTAAGTGACGTTGTGAGTAAACAGGAGCAACTTCTCACAATTTTCCCAGAAAAAACAGTGATCTTCCAGTTCATTTACAAGGGGGTGGCTGTAATGGAATTATGTCTTCTAATTAAATAGTTAAAAAGTGGCCCAACAGACTCAGACAGAAAACCTTTGTAGTTTGAAAGACTTGGGTTACTTTTAGACTGCTTAGCAATTTCATTATGCAAAATGGGAAATTTCTCCTCTATACATAAGCAAATTGTGGTGCCCTCTGGTAAAAAGGTTAAGACAGAACTCTTACCTTATTCGATAGGCAGAAAACAGTGCTAACTCTACCATAAACTGCCACAGAATAATCCTGAATACATACAACACTGCAATGCTGGGTTTTTCTAGGACAGTTCTAAAACAGTATTTAATAAACAATAAAGTTAAACGGTCAAAGTAAAAATGGACTCAAAACTACAACAACAACAAAATACAGGTAGTCCCAGGTTTAAGAACGAGTTCTGTTCCCAAGGTCTGTCCTTAAATCGAATTTGTATGTAAGCCAGAACAGTATTATTGTATAATACTGTATAAGTAATATTGGGTAATGAACTTGAACCACTGTGTATTTAACTCAAATGATTGTGTATTTAACTCA